TTGTGCCTAACATTACCCATAAGAGTATTGATGGAAATATGTAAGTTTTTAGGACTGTCTTATTTCTCAACTCCTTCTAGTTCTCCATTACCATGCTGTATGTTATCCTGTTCCTCATTGGATTCATTAGCAATAATGGCATTAAGTTGTTTTATTCTATATACGTGGCCTAGCATAAACTTCTCACCATATTTAAAACATAGATTCTGTAACCTTCTTTGCTCAATAAGCTACTATCTATTTGGTATGAAATTGGCTGGTGGGTTTAGTTTTGGTTGAGTATGAATAGGTTTAGGATAAGGCCAATATTAGAGATAAACATAGGTTTTGTAGTTTGTTTATGTTTTTGGTTTTCAAATTCAAGTGATAGTTCATGTAGTTTGGCTTATCTATAGGCATCAGTAAGGGTTCTAGGTTTATTAACCTTCACTTTGGGCTTGATATCATCATTGAGTCCACTTATAAAGTTAGAAACAAAGTATCCTTCAATCAAGTATGGGTTATATTGTAACATATAAGGTCTTAACTCTTCAAATCTTTCTTGATAGTCATCCACAGTAGTCTTTTGGGTGAGCTTATTGAACTTCTCTATTATGTCAGAATAAGTTTTGTTATAGAACCTTTGGCACAAGTCATTAGTAAACTCTGACCATGTCACCATTTCCTTTTGTATAAAATATCCATCAAACCATACCTCAACCTTTTCTACTAAGTATATAGCAGCTATCTTTAATTTATGGTGATTAAAGATTGAAAATATGGCAAAGTATTTTTGGCATTTTTTAAGCCAACCTCTGGTATTGCTTCCATCAAACACTGATAACTCAATCTTAGGTATAGGTGAAATGCATTCATAACAATTAAAGAACTACTACAAGAAATAAAATCAACATGTTTAGACAGTTCAGTATTAAATTAAAAGGTATTGCCATTGATTTCATGTTGTTTATTGGTTAATAGTCATACTCCATTAGGCTTATAAACATATTTTCTATGATCATCTATTATTGTGATTTCGACAGGTGCCTTACCTCCCCTTTTAGACCGAGAAAGAGGAACAAATGGTTAGCTGCTAGTCATCCTTTCTGATTCTGGTTAAGTTTTAATTGCCTTTATTGGATCCAACAGTTTAAGCATTTAGCTTATACATTCACAATTTTCAGTAAGCTAGTAAGCTAGGACTCAATAAGCTTCATTTGTTCTCTCCACCACCTTGGAACTGTTGAGTCAACAGTTATTAGAGCCTTAAGCTGCCCTTGCATTACTTGGAATTGTTCTTGTAAAGCATCCAATTTCGTTGCATCAGTCATGATTTGCTATTTCTTAAGCTTTCCCATATTGAAGGTAGCTCTAATAAACTTTGATACCAAACTTGCAATAGAATAATGCTATTGAATTAATCAAGAATTAATCTAAATAAAAAAAGAAATAAATAAATCAAAAGAGAAGAAGATTAAAACCAGAAAAAAGATATGGAACAAGGAAATTATGTTTCTCCTTTATACCTCAAAAAATGCATAAACATGACAATTTATAATTCGTGAATTATAACCACAATACATAATTACTATTCTTATAACCGATTAATTCTTAACTTAACAACTAACACCATATAACTTTATTCTCAACCCCTTTGCATTATCTTTATTGCTAGTTTCCTTTAACTCTTTATTGGTATCTTTGTCAGCTTCTAACTTCATCATAAAAAAAATATGTTTAATTTGAAAAATCAAAATATACATGATCCAGTTATTTTTGAATTTTTAAATGTTTTAGTTTTTTATTTTTAGGTTTTTTATTTTATTTTCAAAATAAAGTAAATAAATAAAAATAATGATAAAAGAAAAATAATAAAGGAGAGGAAAGGAATTAGATCCTTGGTTTGGGCCCAACTAAGCCCAATTAATCCTTTAGGATCCAATATGATATGATCAAAAGCCCGTTAACAATTCAACCCTAAATGGGTTAAAGCCTAACTAAAAACCTAAATATTATTAATGAATCAAAAATAAATTTTGAAATTTTAAAAGAGCCCGAATTAATAGTGTCCATTTCATTGTGACCTGCCTAGCAACACGACTTTAGTCAACCAACATTTAATGAAAATTTTAAAAAATAACTTGAGTAGTGCAAAAAGACTGATGCTAATGTTATAGAACACTTGAGAGAGGAGGTAAAATATAACATTTGGCCATCTTATTAAGCCCTTTTCCACAGCTTATATTCATCTTTTTCATCTTGAGGTGCATCTTCGCTAGGGATATCAAGACGGGTGATTGAGCACAAATTTGTACTCTTTTGTAGTTAACACTATATTAATATTCATTCTCCGATTAACATAATTTGTTCCAATCAATTTAATTTCCAAGTATAATAGCAAACAGTTTAACGATTTGACATGTTAATCTGAAAATGACCGTACAATTAAATAATAGCATGTAATAATAAAAAATACTTAGTAATCTTATAATATCTCATGTGACCCCATAAAAAACATAAAAACATCGTAATCTAATTTTAAATAATATATTTTAAAAAAAAAAAAATTATTTATTAGTATCATTATTTTATATCTAAACGTCTCATTCAGTAAAAATAACTTGACATTGAAAATTTTCTTTATTATAATTATTTAAAATAATCTTATGTACACATCATCTTATGAATTAACTTATTAATATGCGTATACTCTAAATTAAAATAAACTAGTTGTGATGTGATTCCCTTTTTAGCAATATATATAATCATATCCCATATCAATTAAATTTAACTCGTTGCTGCCTTATCCTAATTATTTTAGATCTATTACTTAACAACTTAAACAATCCAAAAATAACCAGGATATTAAAACAAAAAATTAAAGAATCTCAAATAAATATTGGACTCTTCTCTCATGACCAACAAATTGCTCACCGCCGATTCACGATCCACTAACAGAAACTTCATGCTTGTTATCAGGTTGTCTGCAAATTCAAGATATTCATGGATTAATCCATGGTTAAAAAAAAAAAAAAACTAAAACCCGTTAATGGGTCTTACAACACTAAGACTATGAATAAATATTAAATTAAGGAAACCAAGCCATCATAATAGCTTGTCCTTTACAAACCCAGAATTAATATTATACGATCACGAAATATCACAAAAATAAAAGTAGTTATTAATCATGAACATGAGAGGGGGCTTATTTTCTTGTTGCAGCACATTAGGAGATACAATCACAAATCTGATTTAATAAATCTAGGCAGCAACTTAAGTAATATCAAGAGCGTCTAACAATAAAGATCAAAATCTGATTTATGTTAAATAAAAATAGGTGGCTTTTGATACCAAGTGCTGAGCTCAGTATACAATAAAACCAAATCAAAAGCTCCTAAAATCCTCTTTGTTTAACATAAAAACTTAAAAATTCAACATTATGTGGGGTTCATAAAATTTTTTTATAAAACCTGTACTTTAAAGTGATGAGTCTTTATATAATATTTTGTAGTGATTAATTAGTTGTGAATCGTAGTATAGATAATTGTAAGTGAATTACTCCGTTACTTCACAAACATATCATTTTTAATTATTGTAATGTAATTAATTAATCAAAATTCAATATTATGTGGGATTCATTAAAAATTTCACCCATATTTTAAATTGGTAGATTCTTATGTAATTTTTTATTATAATTAATTAATTGTAAGATTATAATGCTCCTTTACTACTGCCCCTATTTAAGTTACTGTTGTTAATCCCCCTTAATTTTTTTTTTATTTTGTTTGCATTGTTTTTCCATATAACTTTTGATACAAAAATTTACCACTTTATTAATATAAATTATTATGTGAAACTAATAAGTTGTAATAATCTATAACTACAATATCCAAAAACAAAAATGCAGAAGTAATTTTGAACAAAAAATTATATAAATGATAATTTATTTAAAAAAAAAAAGAAAACTTCTCCGAAAGCTTTTTCAAAAGCTTGTAAATTTATAAATTCAATTGACTAATAACTACTCAAATACAAAAAGATAGAAACTATATGAGTATTAATTTAATTGATGATTTATGGAGGTATGTATTATTTTTGTATTTTAAAATTATAATTGTTCTTATGACTATAAATATTAAATTGACTTTTTACAAAACTTATAACCGATAAGTTTTTTATTTGATTAAAATAAAATTGAAATAAATATATTTATTAGTTAATTTATAAATATAACTCATATAAATATTGGTGTCATGACTTTCTAATTCAAAAAATTTGAATCCTTCTTTTCCAAATAAAAAAATTAACACTATACATGAAAAAGAAGGAAAATAGAAGGACTGAAAAAGGGCAAGAAAAGAAAAAAGGGAAGGAGATTAAGGGTATTTCTTTATTGTGTTAGGTATGAAAGATAAAAATAAAAGAAAAAAAGATATTAAGGGTAAAATTGTAAATATAATTATTAATTTAAATTAATAAATATTCTCACTCATATTTGAAAAGATTGGTTTCGAAAAGAAATAAGAAGCGCAAATACACTCGTTTTCTTTCTCTCGTCTTATTTCTCTGATACCATACTAAAATAAGCCAATAATTTAATATAGATGTTGCGGTTGAAAAAATTTGAATTGAAAAAATATGTTTAAAAAAAAGATATGCATAAAATAATAAAAATTTAAAGATACAAGAATAATAAAATTATTTTACTCAAAAAAATTACTGTTAAAGGTAAGCCCCTTTTTGCTAGCTTTTTTTTTTTTTTTGAGTTTTACTGTTTGAAAATTAAAAATTTAAATTATAAAACCACAATTTTTTTATTATTTAGGTAGGGTTAAGGTTAGCTTTAGAATAAAAAAAAACCCCAATCTCAATGCTAAATTATGCTCAAATCTGTTTTGCTTGTGTGTATAATTCTGTAATTTCCCATTGAAACTATTTGAGATTGGACCTGGCTTTGTAAGGTGCCCTCTAAAGAACGGCCCATACTTGATTTTGGACTTGTGGCGGGAACCCACGGCTTTTTCCCCTTTTGTATTTTCTTTCCCTCACTGCAACCCTGTTTTCCTCAGTTTCCCCTTTCCTTCTCGGACAGTTGCAGTGCCATCGCCGTTAGTTTATGGTGGCGCTTGTCCCTCCCTCCTCCTTAATTTCCTCTTTTCTTTTTTAATTTTTAAAACCTAAAAATTGTAAGCTCTTACCTGGTTCTTCCTTTCCTAAATCTGATTTTGAATTTAACGTTGTAGAATCTCAACGTAGAGTTATCAAAATCTGATTCCTCAAGCTGATATAGCTTTAGTCAAGAGCTTTTAGCAATTATACATAACAGCAGCTCAAATTGTACCCTTGCCTCTAAGTTCTCTGTCAATCTTAACCGACTAAAGCAATGGGAAGAGAAAAAGAGAAACAAAATCCATCAGAGAAAGCCCTAAATCTCCTTCGAACTCGACTCTCTAACCCTAATTTCATCTTCAAACCCCTCTCCGATTCTCCTGACAGCAACTACAGGTCTGTTTTCTTTTTCCAATTTGGAAAATGCTCACTTAAATAAAAAATAATAAAAATCTTTTTTTAATCTAAATGAATTTGCGGGGGGTTTTTTTTTTCTCAATTTCCTTTTCCTTTTTCTTTTATTTTTTTTTTTCAGTAAGTTAAAGTTTATAATATCGAGTTCAGTTACAGAAGCATGCAATAATTCGATTCTGCTTCTTGGTCCACGTGGTTCGGGGAAAGTCGCGGTATGCCATCATCTTGAATTAAGCGTTGCTTTTCCTTTCATAGTTAAAGAATAATTTTTTCTTAAGTGTTATTTATAAATTTTTTTAGAGGTTTTACGCTGTTGTTAGGTTTTGGAACTTGTTCTGGGCGATCTGTTACAACAATATCCTGAAGTAATATCTGTGGTAGGCTATGCTCCTTAATTTCTTAGTTTTTTTTTTTTTTTTCTTTGGTTCTGGAAAAGATTGTTCTTGAGGATGTGGTTGTAATGGAAAGGATGAAAGTTTAATCGATCTAGTTTGTTAGAAAATGAGGAAATAGATTTTGATTTGACATTGTCATGTTTCAGATATTGCTTGAGATGTGAATTTAATTGAATTTGTTTGTTTTGTGAAACTAATCCCCCATTTAGTTTTTAAGGAAAGATGGGAAAGAGTGAAATTTTTTAGGGTAAAGTAGGAGTCTTTGGCACACTTCAGAGTAACTGCAAGTCGTCTCATTTACATGGTGCCTCGACTAGATAAATCATGCTGGAATTTTTAATTCCATGAACAAAGTGTCTGCGTCAAAATTGTGATAGTACGTATACGTGTTTCTTTATATATAAAAATGCCAACTCAGTGGTTTATTATCTGTTATTGTTTTAGCTTGCTTTAAGGTGTTATAAAGAGACAATGCTTCGATATGTATGTATATATACATATACATATGCATATTGTTCATAGGAATTTTGCTTCTCATTGTATCTTGTCATCGGCGTTTTCTTGCAGATTAGACTGAATGGCCTATTGCATAGTGATGACAATTGTGCACTAAAGGTAAATATCTCATAATTTTCCTCCCACATTATACTCTGTTATATTGGATTGCATAATCATGAATTCTCAACTACCTAATTGTTCTCATTGTGCATGTTTAACTTGTGATATTTGGTATGTTCTCATATTTGATTCTATCCTTATAAATAAAAGGTCCTTCCATAAACGTTTCTGTCAACTCAGTTGTTAAGGGTTTGTGGTTTGATTTTGGGATTACTTTTGTCATTTTAAATTGGTTTTTGGGATTACTTTTGACAATTATATTTCTTTTTAGAATTTCCCAATATTGGTTTTGGAGAGAGAGAGAGAGAGAGAGGTGGATTGTTGGATTCTGACGTTTTGGGTGAAAGAGGGGGTCAGATTCACTTCCCCGTTGCCTGATTGTTGCTGAAGGGGCCAAATTGGGTGGGCGGCTGGGGTTGGAGGGGGCTTGATCTGCCTCCTTGTGCCATAACCAGCTATGCTAGGAGTTGCCTTGGCTTTAATTACTGACATTGGCATTGGGAATTCTAGGTTCGACACTTCCTAGTGGTGGCTGGTTGGCCTCTGGTCTAAAGGAACAAAGGGAGATAGAAGAGAAGAAAAAAAAAGGAAAGGAAAAATGGGAGAAATATTTTTGATAAAATTACTTTAAACTATAATATTAAAAAATTGTTATCCAATTTTCTTTTTATTAATATTATTAATATTTTATTTTTTGAGAAAATGAATGTAAATTGTAATATTAATTTTTTTTTTTTTAAATATAATTTGGGTTCTTTTAAATTTTGACAATTAAAAAGTATTTTTATTTTTTTCACCAAGAGGAATATTAGGGGATGAGGTAAGGGGTTGCTTACTTTTGACAGACCTACATGGCTCACTAATGGTCCTGGCTGCTACCAGTCCAAGTAGTGGTTGGCATATAAATATTTTTCAACAGAACTATTTTTGTGCACATGGACACTTGTTGCCAGTTGGGAATTAACAGCTGGGTTGATATAAGACTTGAGGGAAGGATATTTTAGTTATAATGTTGGAAGTATAGTGACTAATATTTGACTCTTTGAACTGTAGGAACCAATATGATATGTTACCCGAACTTTGGGGACTATGATGCAATTACTCATAGTTACATGTTTGGTAAAGAAGAAAGGTGTTACCCACAGTTAAACTTGGGTAGTTGTTTTGCAAAAATTTGTCAAACTTGAGATTTTTTTACAACAATTCTCCTATATTAATTGGGGAACTCCTGAAACAATAGATGGATCCTTGATTGTTACTTTCTGAGTCAACAACGGGAAGTTATTACATGAAAATTATTAGCATGATGTGGATAAGCGATACTGCAGCTCTCTGCATTCTAAAATTGTGTCTAATGGAAGATCTGTGGGTTTAGACATTTACTAATCATAACACATTGAAGAAATATAATAGGAAATGCTCACACAATGACTGATTGATGAACAACTTAATAAGTTCTGGGTATACATTAACTACGCATAATTGAAAGCCTATTGGGTCTGGTCTTATGCTAGTTAGCAAGATTACTAGCTAAACTTGTCTGTTTCTTTTCTATAATCTGCATAAAAAATCTTGCCATTCCTCATTAACATTATTTATTGTATTTTTGTTCAACAAAATTTCTTCTTAGGCTCTTACTAAGTTATGGAATCAAATATTTTGTCTTAAGATTTTCATGGTAACACCCTTTTTTTAATTTGTCATGGTTATCCGTCTTTCAGGAAATTGCTCAACAGTTATGTGTGGAGCATCAACTTTTGTTCTCGAAAGTGGTACTACAAATATCTATTTGAGGTCATTATGATGCATTTTCAACTAAGATTTATATTGATTATGAGATGATTTCTGTAGGCATCATTTGATGATAACTCCCAGTTCATGATAGCAATGTTAAGGTGAAGATACCTGATTTGCCTTATTTTTTAAAAAATATATTTTAATACTTTAAAACTGATAGTGTCTATCATTGTCAGGGAATGTGGATTAGCACATAAAACAATTATTTTTGTGCTTAATGAATTTGATTATTTTGCTCAGGTAAGGATCTTCCATTTTGTCTATTTTATAATATGCCATGTAAAAGCTCCTATTTTAAGGGGTGTTGGCCATACAGAACATATTTATGATTTTAATTTAGGAAAAAGTTAGGTTTTAAATCTTTCAATCAGGCAATTAAACAGTTTTCTTTTTCCAATTGTTATTTGCAGGGAAAACAAAGATTACTTTATAGCTTGCTTGATGCAATGCAGTCTGTGACATCACAAGCTGTTGTCATTGGTGTGAGCTGTCGACTGGTATGTTCAAAGTTTTTTTTTTTTTTTTTTAAATTTTTCTTGTTTACAAAGTTTATGATGATAAAAAATATGCATATCATTGTCCTATGTGCTGTAGCTTGAAATTTTATCTCTTGATATTAGTAGTTTTATCTTCATACAATGTTTCTTTTTAGTTGAATAAATTCTTGAATTATTTCACACTTATCTGTCTTATTAATTGTTTTTAGGTCGTAGTTATCAATCCTTTTGGTTGATGTTGCCTAGTATGAGGATGGCAACCTATAGATCTATCAAGCAGTTCTCTTATCATGAGAGTTGAATGTCAATAAAACACTAGGAGGCAAAGTTCCCTTGAAGAACTCATTTTCTTTCCATTTTTTCAATCTTCTTGACTCTTTTCTTTGATTTTCAATTAACAACTTCAAATAACTTCAGGCGAGAGAGGCCATGATAAGTTTGTGGAAGAGGATGAGTGGCTACAGGCTTGAAAACTAACACATAATTGTCTTCAGCACATAATTATTTTTAAAAGCAATAAGGTTGTGAGAGGGGACGAGTGCCTAGAGGCTTGAAAAATAACACATAATTGTCTTCAGCACATAATTATTCTTAAAAGCAATGAAAATTCTTCTTGAATCATTATCCTTAAAGCGGGCACTATAAAAGTTTAAAATAAAATGGGAAAGTGGCTGCCAGGTGGTGTATTTGACAATAGTACAGGACTGATGTTATTCAAGAAGCTGATTAGGGATCAAAGATCGTCAAATTTGATATCATCGGTATTGGAAAAATTTTCTTTCCTATAGCTTTAAATTCAAATATTGTGGATTGGAAAATGTCATGAATATTAACATTCAAAGAAATGACGATATTATTGGCCAACAAAAAGAGGAAATGGAGATCTTTTGTTATGGTTGACCAAGAATGGATGAGGTTTTAGAATCAGTGAAGCTTGGGAATGAACTAGACAGAAAATTCCTAAGCATGAGAGGTGAAAGCTGGTCTGGTTCAAAAATTATATCCCAAAAGAATTTTTTTTTTTGGTTTTATGGCTAGCTGCTAGTGGAAACTTCAAATAAAGGATTTATTGATGGAAAGGTAGATTATTCAGACATCTCAACTTTTTTCTCTTACGATCACTCAGAAAATTTGAATGATCTCCTTTTCGCTTACCTGTGAATTGCTAAAGTTTGGGGAGTCATGCTAAGGGACTGCAATATGATGAAAGAACTTCCTTGAAGCCAAGAATTCAAGTGGTTCACCATTCAATGTTTGGGTAACAAATTAAATCATAGTATCAGGAACAGCACTTTGTTGCTTCTTTTGTAGCTAAGTAAAAAATTTCGTTTGTTTATGTGTTTACTTTTGTTCCTCTAGTTAGGTTTTGTCATTTGCAATTTGCTGAGTTTTGTTCAAAATTCTTTTACTTACTAAATAAAAACAAATTAGAAAACTGATTCGTAGATCCATTGTACAGGTTGAGTGCTTAAACATTCAATTTGCATAAGTATGATTTATTTTCTTCTCTAAAGCCCCTAAATATTTGTTTCATGCCATGTAGGATGTTGACCAGCTTCTTGAAAAAAGAGTGAGATCTCGTTTTTCACACAGAAAGCTGTTGTTTCTTCCTCCATCTAAAGAAGATACAGAAAGGTGATTTTCTATTGCCTAACTGTGGAGATTATTGTGACTTATGCTTAAGAAAGGACAACCTTATCTGATGCCTAATTTGACTTTGCAGATTCATGGAGCACATTTTGTCATTGCCTGTAGATTCAAGCCTTCCGCACAATTACACCGTTGAATTTAATGCAAGGCTAAAAGTATCCTTTCCGTGAAACATTCTCTTAATGGTATGATTGATAACAGTATTATTATAGCCATTTAAAGGGGGGGGGGGTGTGGGGGAAGCTTTGTGATTGTACGGACTTTAAGGGTTGTCAGAAATCACACTTAACAAGTTTCAAGTGGCCATTAGGATATATTTTTGATGACCTTCTAAGTTGCCTCGTTCGAAGAACAAACTCAATGTTAAGAATAATAGTCTCACGGTTCAAGCTTCAAAGAGTAGAAGTTAAATATCTCTTAATTTAGGAATGAATGCATATATGGGAATGGTTTTATGCTATACAGCTTAGGGAGACAGTTGATATATGGTTGAAAATGAGCATATGAAGATATTTAGATATTTGATTCTATTTTTGCCAAAAAAAAAAAATTATCCACCCTTTGTTCTTTGTTTTTTCCTGCATAAACTCTACTTGACTTCATTGTGTGCATGTTTATAGCTTTGAGTTGAACTTCAAAGTATGACTTGAAAGCTGGCATTGCCAGTAATCAACATAATCAAGTTTTATAGGAGTTATCATTGCTGTTCATTTACATAAGATGGTGGAATATATGTAATGCGTTAGTTTCCAGGTACTATGCTATTGCTAAATAATATTACTATAATTTTGCTCAAACTTATGGGCTTAATGCTAGCCTAGAACTATGGAGATTTACTTGGACCCAAAAGGGTTTTTAAGATGAGCAAGTTGGAGATACAAAAGTCAGTGCAATGCTGGTAACTAAATGCCAACTCTTTTAAAGCATGTTCCCTCCCTCCCCTTCCCCCCCAACACCCAAAATGAATAGGGTGGAGAAATCATTACATTGCTTATAAAACTTGAGCCGGATGATTCATATTGCTCTCTCATGAAGTTGAGGAGCACATGAGCTCTCTCTTGTTCTTTCTTGTTTACCATTTCATTGCTATGTAGTAACTTTCTCATACAGTCTTTCATAAACTAAAAAAGATTATATCCAAATTAGTCATCAACAACTATGAAATGCTATCATCCGACTGAATTTATTGGCTTCTTGTATTTTATATCTACGAAAAGTCCAAAAAGTAGGGGTAAGGCTGCATGGGTATGACCTTTAAATGCAGAACCTTTAGGCAGCCATTTGTTACGTATGTCAATGTTCAGCTCCTCAATCTAAACTTAATTGTATATTTTGTTAAAAGAAATTGTGCTTAATTTAACCCTTTATGGCCTTTGTATCTAACTTTTGACCCATCAAGAAGTTCATTGCTTTATGCAATCTTGAAAGAGAAAAAGAATGAAAAGCATAAATTGAATATTTCTGCATGCTTCTAAGGTGCTTTATCCTTTTTGACACATATAATTCGTAAAGATCAAATATCTTTAACATTATGTTGATACCTAAACGTTCATGCTCCTAAGATTATGCTTTTTTTACTTGTACGTTTCCAAGGATCTATTCTTCCAGACTGGGTGATGAATTCCTTGACATCTTACAGAAAATTTTATCAGATGAGAGATTCAAAGAACTAATTAATACCTATTTGAGTTTCAATTCTACAATTGGTCATTTGGTTAGGTTTCTGTAAGTTTCTCTTCTTGCATTTGGGACTACAGAATGTTATATAAACATCAGCTACTACAATTACAATGTTTTATGATCAGCTCTTATGATTATTGTATTGATTCTAGATTTCAAGCTGTTTCTTATTTGGATTTGGATGTTGGATTCCTTTCGCTTGAGAACTTCAAAACTGCACTTTCTAGCATGCAACGGCAGCCAAAGTTGGAATGTATAAGAGGTATGAGGACTTAGACATGCTTTCCTCTAAATTAGGTATTGTATTTTAGTTTGTTTACATGATTCCACCTTCATAACTACCACTTTTCTAAGGTCAAAATTTTCTCGCATTTTTTTCTTGGAGTTTTGCTTATCTGGTCTAAAGTTCAGTCTTTCTCCAACTTTATTTTTCAAGTCAGTAGTCTACTGGAAATTATAATCGTGTATTATGCACTCCGACTACCTTCTGTGGTTTTCCTTCTCGTTAAATCTATTAATTTGCCTTTTAGGTGCATGAATATGAGATTCTCGTTTAATTCTGCCACATTCACTTCATGTTGACTCATGTTTGAGAAAATTTCAAGCCAACTATCATGGGGCACAAGCTTCAGCTCGAACTTCTAATTTTTTTTTATTTGCTGAAATTTCCAACTTCTAGCTTGGCATTCCTCTGGTTGTTTTTTATATTTAGATGTTCAAAGAATACATTCTTATAAAAGAGAATCATCAGAAGTCCTTCGAATGGTTCAACTCCTTTTGGGCATTTTGTCTCAGATTGATGATTTTCAGCAGACTACTGTTGCAATCTGTTATGATTTCATTAAATCTTTGCAGTGTAATAATTCACATTAAGTTAGCTAACTCGTTGAAAGTCTGACATCATTATAGAGTATTGATGGTCTTTAGCAGACTGTTGTTGCAAACGACTATAATTTTTCTAAATCTTTGTGGTGCATCTTTAAACTTAGTTGATGATTTGAATGTCTTAACACTTGACACAAGTAAGATCTGAAGAAGTTTTAAAAGCAATGCCACTTCATGCACATTCAGTGGCAAAATCGTGGTAAGATGAAGCATGATAATTAGATGAGAAATTATTCATCTTTGATTTATTTAATTTTATTGGAAGCATAACAATCTTGGATACACATTCAACTTGTTCAAGCAGATTGCTCCATATTGGAACTCTATCTGTTGGTATGCATGAAAAGGTTGGAAGTTAAGGAACAGAATTCTTATAACTTCAATTCAGTTATGACAGGTTGATTTCACTTGTTCAGTGTTATTTTTTAATTACTAGCATTAAGATATTATTCACTTACATATTTTCCCTTCTCACAGAATACAAGAGCATACATGATTCATTCCAGACATCTGACTACTATGCTAGAAATGTTTGTCTACGGGTGTGTATAATTCTCTTAAATGAACTTCTAAATGGAAGCCACAATGTATGACTCGAGTTGGTATTCTAAACACTTTCTCATGCCATGCGTTTGATGAGTCCACTCTAATTTTTGTAGGCATTTGAACACCTTCTACAGCATCAGTTGATTAGTTTTGCAGACAACAGAGGACACAATCAATCTGTGGAATTTCGTCCCGTAAAGCTTCTAATTTCACTGGCTGAACTACATCAGGGGCTGAAGTCATATCGTTTGTGTCCTGTAAGTTACTCATAATAATTTGTTTTGTGCGTACAAGAGCTTGCATAATTCTAACATTTATTTAGATAAAGTGGATCATGTTTACCGCAACCATGGTTGGACCTGTTGGAACTCATTTATAGAGTCCTTATGCATTTTTGCTTCTGCCTTTGCAACATTTTACTATGTGATGCATTTAAAATTCATTGACCATTTCAAAGTCAGTGATCAGGGTGTTTTGGTTGCTTTCTAGGCCATCCTCCTCAAATTAATGGATCGGTAAATTTGAAAGTAATATGCTTGAGGGGAAACATTGGCTGCCAATTACCTGGTCCATATGTATGGTCAAAAGAAACATAGAATGGTCCCTCTGCTGCATTTTCTTGGGTCTATTCCACCGTTTCTTTTAGATATCAAATTTTAACTTTTCTGCCGGCCAAGATGTCCTTCAGGTGAAGAATGTCTCTCTTTGAAATCTGTCCTTTGTCTCTTATTGTAATCTGATGTTTATTATTACAAGTGCATTTAAATTAACAGCATAAAACTGCTTGTACTTCAGCTCGTGTTTTTTTTGTTTTTTGGGTCGATGAGTATTTCTTACTGAAGTTGGAAATTTATTGTTATATTTGTGCTAGATGTTCTATTTGGATCTTATAAAAATAGGATTCTGGATTTTGCCACTTGTTCAAGCCTGCAAATTGCACAAAATACCAGCATTTGATTCATTCCTTGTTTGCTATGTTAACTACTATTGTTGTGGTGCTTCATTCTTACCTTTGAAGATGGTCAAAGTGGCTTTCAGTAGGCAATTGTCTTGACCGCCGAATAAATGCATAGTCTCTTGTTTCACTTGTATTGGTACTATGTGAGTTGGAAGACTATTCTGGACCATGAAATGCTACCAGCTTAGTTTGTGTTTACATATATGGATATGCAAATTTACTCTATATCCAGGATTTAATGTTTGATTTTGCAAATCTGTTCAAAGTTTTAAGATGGTTGAAGGTAGAGGGTTACCTAAAGATACAAATTTATTCATTCAGGGTAAAAGCAATGAAGGAGCATAATTATTTCGCTCTCAATTTCTCAGTTTTAAGATGGCGATAAAGGGTTGCCTAAAGATGAACTTTTTGCTAGTTAAATTTTCATGTATCTTGCATTCAATTTATCCCATAATTATTTTGTTGAAGTAATAGAAATATAAGTATCAAATAGTCATAGAAAATCAGACTTACCATTCAAAATGCATCGTCTGCATGTTTAATCATCATTCTCCTATTTTTACCTTTCACGAAAATCATACATGTTTAGTTCTACTTGAGGCTTGTGACTTGTGAGGACATAAGTAATATTTCTCTCCATCGAAGCGGTCCAATTTTTGGAAATTGATAGTCATCTCTCTCAAAGAGTAGTAGTTCTCCATTTTCAAGTAAAACAAAAACAAGCCTAAAACATGTTGGATCTACTTGGGAGGTTAGGTAGGCACAAGATAGGGGAATAAAGTAAAAGAAATGGTTTGAAGGCATGCTTTAAATATCATGTTTTTTTAATTTTTATTATTTAATTTAATTTTATTCAAAATATTATATTATTTTATTTTATTATAATTTTGTATATCAAATATGACATTTGATTTGATATCAAATCAAATCGTTACACTTTTGATGAGGATGAAAATATCTTTTTTTAATCACGGTTTTTTGCTAACAATGTCTAAAAGTTTACTTTAATTTGAGAATGAAAGGGAAGTAATAGAAAAAGTTAAAGGGAGGAAATAGAGAAAGTTCTTAAGTATTATTCTTACATCTTTATTTATAAAGAATTTGATCAAGAGTTGTAACTTTTAAATGTGTTGTTTTGTTCAATTAATTTGTCTTTTCATTGAATTTACATTTTTTGGAACTTAACAAGTGTCATTTACAATCTTTTACAAGTGAAAATATTTTATAAAAAAAATTAGAACTCTTTTGAAATGAAATTAGTCGATACTACCAAAATCCGTCAACTTTACATGAAGTTTGCACATGCTTTAAGTGATTGAAGCTTAAAATCTGTTTAGATCCGAAAAAAAGAGAAAAAAAAAAAGGGTTGAATGTCAAATGGGATTTTTAGTGTAAGTTGGCGTTGCAGTTGGATCTTGTTGACTTTCTGTGAGAATCTCACATTGATCCTAAATCTTTTACCTATGCCTTTTCACAATAAATAGATATATATATATATATATATATTATTCTCTTGTACCCAGAAAAATATATAATATATTCATCTTGATCAAACGGTGCCAAGAAGAATCGACAATTCTAAAGATATTAATGTTTTACCCTGTTTTTACATTAAACGGTGGTGGTCAATCCATTTCCCAGCAGAAACTGCTCGTATATCATATATATCGTAGGTATTCAATTTGATTCAGACTCGAATTAATTGGGTCTTATTCAAATGGGACAAGATGGTTTATTTATTATTATTATTTATTATGATTTTATATTTTTTATTTATTAATATATATTTATTATTTATCTATTAATATATTTTTTATTATTTATCTATTATTTTTTTTGGTTTATCTGTTCTAAATTTTATTTTAATTATTATTTTATATATATAATTTTTTGTTTTAGAAGGAGGTTATGCCGTAAATCAAGAGCTGAAAGAGTTTGGATTAGATTCAAAGAATGAATCCAAATCTCAGATGAAATTAGAATTAATCAAAAACTCTTCTGATCAATTTCTATAAATAGGTACTGAAATATACGGGAAAAGGATAGAAAGAACACAGAGAGCAAACAGTGGTAAAAAGGGTTCTGGTGTGTTGGAAACAATTTTAGGAATTTGTGGGAATTTTTTTAAAAAAATTTTTGACATTATTTTTATGAAAATTTTTCAAATTCCGTTGAATTTTATGGGAAAATTCAAGTTTTTTTGCTACTGTTCTGACGAAAAACCTAATTTTCGACGAAGAAACCCAAAAATCGGTGAGCAATCCCACCGATGTTCTTCGCAAGTAGAGAGAGAATGAGAGAAAACTAAGGGGAAGAGAGAGAAATGGAGAAGCATCTGGCAAAAAAACGAGATTTTTTGCCTTTTATACTTGCTCAAGACGGCGTCATTTTGGCGTTAAATCAGTTCAAAGGATCCGCGCGTTTTTATTTGATTCGACCTAACTCGAGCGCATACCCGTGTCTAACCCGATTGCCAGCCAACCCCTACAGTCGAGTTGAGCTGAACTGAGCTGAGTCGTTTCTCACAGAGCCGCACCTTTAAGCCGTGTTCTGTCTCTCAAGCCGAGCCAATCTTTTCAGTTGAGTCAAGCCGCCTTAAGGTTTTTTTTTCTCTTCTTTTTCTATTTATTATTATTATTATTATTATTATTATTATTTAGGTATTCCTTAATTTTTTTATTTTTTTAATTTTAATTTTTTTACTTTATTTTATTTTATTTTATTTTTTAGTGATTTTCTTAAAATAAAAATTCCAAAAAAAAAAAAAAATATTTCGAGGAAAAGTTGAAAGTATCAATTTTTCTTGAAATTAAATTTCAGAAAACAAAATATTTTAAGAAAAAGTTGAAAGTATCAATTTTTCTTGAAATTAAAATTTCAAAAAAATAAAGTATTTTAAGAAAAAGTTGAAAGTATCAATTTTCCTGAAAATAAAAAAGATTTAAAAAAATATTTTTAGGAAAAATTAAAAGTATCAATTTTTCTTAAAAATAAAAAGGTTTAAAAAATATATTTTTAGGAAAAAGTTGAAAGTATTAATTTTTCTTGAAATTAAAATTTTCAAAAAAATAAAATATTTTAAGAAAAAATTGAAAGTATCAATTTTCTTTAAAATAAAAACTTTCAAATGCTTTAAGAAAAAATTGAAAGTATCAATTTTTCTTGTACAAAAGCAGTAAGTTTTTTTTTAAATGAAAAAAAAAAGATTTACACCAAAAGTTGAATCATTATTCTTTTTTTTCCTTGAAATTTTTTTTATGTTAAATAATCCGACGATGGAGTCCCTACAAGTGAAACAGTAGTTTTCTTACATACTTTTGAGGTGAAGGAATTTTCTTAATTTTCTGCCAAAAGTATTGGGATTAATTAAGAATAATTTCTAAAAATTAATTATTTGGTAAAATTTTTAAAGTTTATTGGATAACATGAAATTAAGTTGGCACCATCTTTCGATGGGCGTTGTGAGGGTGCTATAACCTTTCTTATACGTAACCGAACTCTTGAACCCTGTTTTGGTTAATAGACCTGAACCTATTCTTTTAGGGACCCTTAGTCAAGCTTAGGTGTCCCTTGAAATGATAGATTCCTTAGGTGGCCAATCGCACATAAACAAAAAAAAAAATTGGTGGTGACTCCTTAAGTCAATGTCTAGTGATAGATCCCCAGATCTAAACGTTATGATAGTTTGGCGACTCCATTGGGGACAAGCTAAGAGTCAGGCCAATAAAAAAATTCGTGTTATCCAAAACCTAATAAAACTGAACCTTTTGCATAGATTTTTTATTCATATATATTTATTTACTTTGTTAATTATGTCATTCATATGGATGTGCATAACATGAGCTCTATACCCGATCTTCGTCCATCTAGGAGGGAGTAAAGTGCTTATTGCTTTCGTGAGGTTTTAATGCCTTCGTAGTGGCTAGCAAAATACTCTTACTCAAATTGAATCCTTTCCATTGATAACCGGTGATGGGTGAGGATTGGACTGCCTTACTAGTCTATAATGGACAATGATGTAAAGAACAATTTGGAAACTTTTAGTAGGTAAAGTCACCTAACCCTGCATATAGTGTACATTTAAAAAGCCAGCCTTAGGATAGAGCCCTTCATACCTAATTGATGGATATAACCCGAAACTAGGACATAAGAAGGAACAATTTGTGACTTGCTAACCATTTTGATTGTTTGACTTTGTGCATTATTTTTATTGTTATGTAACATTATGCATCTGCATCACTTTCATTTCATCCATGAAACTAACCATGTTGTTTGTTTGATTTTATGCATCTACATCATTGCATTCTATGCATTATTTCATTCTATGCATCATTTTCATGATCATATTTTAACATTATCATTTGCATCATTCTCATTTCATCTATGAAGTCCACATTCCATGCATAAACATACCCTACATAAAGCATATAATTTCTTATCATAATTGTGGTATTTAAGGTTCAAGGATAGCTCCATCAGCAAGAACCCCATCTATCGACATAACAAAAGAGCTAGAGCTAGACAAATAGAGCAAAAAACTCTCACCAATTTGAAAAATTAGAAAAGGCACATGAAAAGCTAAAAATGAGTTAAGTAAGATTTGGATGCTTCAACAAGCTAAATAAAAGAAAGGGGATAGAAGAGAATACTAGCCAATAGGGCTTTCCATCACAAAAAGTGACTGACCCTTTATACCCACCTGGTTTTGGTCCACTTCAAGCTCAACTTACACAAGAGGCCCCACCTCAACAATTTACATATCCTACATATCCTGAAATGCCATCTGCCTCTAATTCAAGGCATTACCACAGCTATGTAAATCTTATCTTTACTAAAAAGGTAGTAAAAACTGTTCAAGTTCTAGATTTGGATGAACTAAAAGAAAAAGAGGAAAAAAGGTAAATGTAGTAGAATCTTAGAAAGATTCAAAGATTAGTATGCTTGAACAAAAGTTACGGGCTGTAGAAGGAATTGGTTTTATGGTTCTATTGATGCTGCTGGGTTGTGTTTAGTCCCAGATGTGATTATTCTACCAAAGTTTAAAGTACCAAAATTTGAGAAGTATGATGGTACAAAGTGCCCAAAGACTCATATCACCATGTACTGTCGGAATATGATAGCCCATGCTCATAATGAAAAACTATTAATGCATATTTTTCAAGATAGCCTTACGGGCTCTGCTACTAGGTGGTATGTCCAGTTGGATAGAAATCGCATTCGTTCTTGAAATGATATGACCCATGACTTCATCAGTCAATACGACATATCATAGACTTAGCTCCTGATCGCCTTTTCTTGCAAAATATAAAAAAGAAGGTGACTGAATCATTCAAAGAATACACCCAGAGGTGGAGAGACATGGCTACTCATGTGCAACCTTCTTTAACTAAAAAAAAAACTATAGTGCTATTCGTCAGCAGTCTAAAATCTCTTTATTATGAAAAGATGATAAGGAATGCAACCAAAAATTTCATCAACATGGTGATTTTAAGAGAAATTATTGAGAGTGCCATCAAGAATGGCAAGTTGAAAGGAGGAGAAACCAAGAAGACGTTGACAAGAAAGAGACTGAAACTCAAGCTGTGAGTTTTGACAAATAGTTTAAGGGTTATCAATCTTATTCACCATAGGGTTATTCCTCGTACTATGCAACTGTGAATAATTCTTTTTCTTACCCATACCAGTCCATACCACAACCATTTTACCCATCCACATACCAACAAATTTTTAGCCCTCAAGCTCTCACATATAGCCTTAACATTCAACCTCCAGCAAGATTTTAAACTTGTCCTAC